CTGCTGTGCCCCACGGGCTGTCTCTGCTCAGGTACACCAGGTTTGCTCCTCCTGCTCAGGTACACCAGGTTTGCTCCTCGCTTCCTGCAGTCGGCGGAGCAGCATTTCCTGCGGGGCTACCGGGTGAACTATTACATCTTCACCGACAGCCCCCAGAGCATCCCCCACCTGCAGCTGGGGCCGGGGCGGAGGCTCCTCACCGTCCCCGTGCAGAAACCCTCCAGCTGGCAGGAGATCTCCATGCGCAGGATGGAGGCCATCAACCAGCACGTGGCCAAGCAGAGCCACGGCGAGGTGCAGTACCTCTTCTGCCTGGACATCGACATGGTGTTCCACAACCCCTGGGGCCCCGAGACCCTGGGGGACACGGTGGCAGCCATCCACCCCGGCTACTTCGATGTCCCACGAGAGCAGTTCCCTTACGAGAGGAGGAGCTCCTCAGCAGCCTTCATCCCTGAGGGGGAAGGGGATTTCTACTACGGAGGGGCCGTGTTTGGAGGCTTGGTCAGGAAAGTCTACGAGCTCACCAAGATGTGCCACATGACCATCCTGGCAGACAAAGCCAACGGGATCATGGCAGCCTGGCAGGAGGAGAGTCACCTCAACAGGCACTTCTTGTCCCACAAACCCTCCAAGCTGCTCTCTCCAGAGTATATATGGGATGACAGGAAGCCAAAGCCCCCCGAAATCCACCTCATACGTTTTTCCACAGTGAAAAAGAACTACAAAGAGGTCCGAAACTGACCATCCCTGCAGAGAGATCCTCCATGCAACCAAAGCCACCAAAATTAGCTCCTCCAGAATGTGCCCCAACCTTGAATTGTTGCTCCTGGTAGGAGAAAAAATTGGGAAGGGGATTTGTGGATAGTTCCTTTGGAGAACAGAGTCTAAATGCATTTCAGAAGCAGCAAAGTGCAGGTGAGACTGAAAAGGTTCCTGGATTCTCCCTCTTTGTAAATACATCCTGCTTGAGGCTTTAGCACGCAAAAAAGCATCCACAAGGACAGTTATACAATGCATGGCTGTAGCTGCCTTTGCCTGAATGTTTTCCTGAGGGCTGGTGGAAATTTAACAAGATCAAAATGGTATTTCACATTCCTGTGGAGGAGAAGACCTTGGGTTTTGGTTAAGACCTCTTCACTTAAAAAAAAAAAAAAAGAAAATTGCACAGCAATACATTTTCCTGAACTGTGATTTAAAATAACACCTTTTGTCAGAATCAGGAGGAAAGTTGCACTCAGAGCTCGTCATCCCTGGCTGGTGTGCAGCAGGATTTCTTGGACCTTCTCAGCAGAGAGCTGGTGCCAGGCATTGCCCATAAGAGCCCGGGTCTGACAGGACAAGCAGGGTGAACTCATCTAGCAGTTATCTCCCAAATTCCAGTCTGTGCTTTGGAGACCCAAGTTTAGACAGAGCTGGCACAGCTCAGAGCAGACTGAACTTCTTCGGGTTTATTTCAATCACAGATGTGCTCTGAACCTTTTCCCTGGGTCACATGTCTCTGTGGATCATGTAATCTTTTCCAACACAGAAAATCTGCTTTTGAGATGTTCATGTTCCTCTCCGTTGCTTCAGCCCTTTCCAATTTTTCTGAGCTCTGTGAAATAAATAGGCGAGAAGCTGCTGGAGCTGACAGCACGAGCTGATGCCTTTCCAGCAAACAGGATGATTTCATTCCATAATGAAATGCTCTGGAGAAGCTGGGAGTTCAGCGTGGAGCTGGGAGTGGGCTGGGGTTAACATTTTCTCTCCTTTAGAGCCCGGCAGCTACCTTGGGTGAGCAGCCACGGCGTGGCTGGCAGCTGAGGTCACAGCACAGGGGTGCCTGTGCCACCTCCCTTGTCACAGCAGGGCTGCCATCAGCATCATCTCCCTCTGCCACCGAAGGCTGAGCACGTCTGTCAGTCCCTGTGCTCTCAGAGGGGGCTCAGGAGGAGCAGGGTGAAAGGGTGAACGGGCTGTTTCTAAGGGAACACTTTAGTGGGGGGTGGGGGGAAAGGAAAAAATAAAAATAAAGAGGGGAAAAAAAGCTCATTTGGCAGAGAGAGGGAAAATAGGGAAGAGGTGCCTGACTGTTCCTGCTTCTCTTCACACGAGAAAATTGCTGTATGGCAGCGAATCAAGTATTCAAAGCTTTAGGGCCCCACCACTGATTGCAGATGACTTAACGAGCCATTTCAGTCCTGTGAGCAGGCTGGAAATGGCACTTGCCACTGTCATTGCAGGCATTTCATCTTCCAGAAGACTAATTAGAAAAGCTTTCACGGACCCATAATATAGATAAGGTACCTGAAATACCTCCAGCCCCAAAGCCCCAGTGGCAGCTGGGTTGGCTGATTTGTGCTTAATCCAGCAAAAGGTCTTTATTACGTTTTCTCCAGACTATTCTTAGTGATGTGGTGCAGGAGGAAGATTCCCCTTTACATAACTAAACCAGAACTGAAACCCCTGCCATGTATGTTGGGTGACCAGGCTCCTCACCTAAGCCAAAATGGTGAGGAAAAATACTTATCCAAATATTTCCAGAAAGATACATTTCCAACCAGCCCAGGATTAATACTGTCTGTTTCTTAATTGTTAAATGAATTAGTGCCTCAAGGCCACGCTGAAACTAAGTTCTCATTATGCTAATTATACATATATGCATATGGATTCTTTACCAGCCAGAAGGAACTGTCCAGTCAAGCCAGATAATTTTATCTCCTGGTGTCAGTACGTGTCTGGGCTGGGCTAGACCTCATAGAAAAGTGCTCAGATTCCAAGAAAAACGTGAAGTTCCATAGCAGCCACAAATCCATAGATCAGCTGTGGCAATGGCCAATTCCCCTTATGCCTTAATTCTGCTGGAAATTGCTCTGGGTTTGCAGCCATAGGGCTTCACTCTGCCACATTAATTATTGGATTCCTGTGCAGATACTCATAAATCCTCTGTGAGAGGAAGTTTTGCAGCACAAATGATGGGTGATAGAGGGTGGTCTGTGTTTCTGGGGTACCTGTTGTGAACAAATTGTGAAGGGCTTGGTCTGAGCTCTGCATCTGAGCTGCCTTTTGGCCGAATCCTCAGCCCTCTGATTGGCACCATAATGGCCTGGTTTGTGCTGTGCCAAACATGTTTATTTTCCTGGCAGGCCTGCAGCTTCTCCCCAGGGGAATGGCTTGTGTTGTGTGACACAGTTCTGCTCCACGGGGCTGTGGTTTAAAGCAGTACCTACAAACTCCCAGTGCCTCCAGGGAGCAGGAGAATATCTGCAGAAAAAAAAAACCAAAAAAACCCCACAGCGCTGTGTGGGAGATGCTCCCTGAATCAGCTCATGCCCTACTGCAATTAATGAAAGGCTGGACTCCTGTTGTCATCTCCTGCTGATTAATCCCCTTCCCCCAGCAGCAGCAGTGAGTTTTCCTTCTCCCAGTTCAGATTGTGCAGCCTGAGGCTTGTGTGCACTGTGGGAGCTCCACCAGGATCTGCTTTCTGATGTGCATTCCCCACCCACACCCAGTGCACAGTGGGGAAACTGAGGCACGTGGTAGGAAAGCAGCAGAGGGTCACTCTCACCACGGGGTCAACGTTGTCTTACGTGTTCTTGTGCCAGAGGAATTTGGACTTAGAAATGCAGGGAAGGGCATGAAAACTGAATCAGCACACGTAAACAAACCCCACTGCCTGGGGATGTGATTGTACTCTCAAGGTATTCCCACCCAAGCCCTTAACCCAGCCTCAGAGCAGCAGCTTGTTGCCTTCCCAAGGGCCCCTTTTCCCTTCCATCCCTTTCAGCTCGGCTGGAACAGACTCATCATTCATAGTCCCTCTAATTTAAGCACCCATCTGACAGGCTGTTTCTTTCCTTCTCCCTGCTGCTGTCTTGCCCAGTGCATCCGCCCCCAAAGGGCAAATTTCTCTGTGTAATGTGAAATTTCCAGCACTGAATATGATTTGAGGTGGGGCCAGACTCTGATCCTCTGGTTCTCCCCACTGATAGGACAAGAATAATTTCCACTTAGCCAGATTAGAATTCTTTTCCTCTCTGGTTTGGATTTCCCATAACCCTCCCACAGGTGATGTTTTCTGACACTTTTGACCAGAAATGTCATTTTGCAGTTATGGAAGGACTGGCTTAGTCAAACCTTCTGCGGGTGAGATCTGTGGCTGTGGGGCACGGAAATGAGATGATCTTTGAGCAGAGGGCATGGGGAGGGGTAAGAACATCACTTACACATTCCCTGCTCAAAACCAGCTTGTGCAAAAGCCACGTGCATCCGGCTGGCTTCATGCAGCTGGTGGGGAAAGGAGCTGCCAGGCTGGGAGCTCCCTGCCAGGGCTGCTGGGTTCACTCCCCTGCCCTTTGCCTCACCTGCTCAGCTCTTTGAGGAGGGGCTGTGCCTCTTGTTCTGTGTTTGCACCCAGTGGGGATTTGCTCTGATCTCAAAGGGAGCTCTTAGCACCAAGGTTATTATTTTCTCACTTGAATCCCACCTGCTCTGCTTCACCTCCTGCCCCAGCAAGTCCCCGTGGGACCCCAGGGGTGGCACGCACAGAGCAACAGCTGCTCTCCAGGAGGAGTGACAGAGGCAGTGACAGGGCCATTCTGGGGACAGCAGGAACTGGAGAAGGAGTAACAGGAGTGGGTTGGGTGGTACTTTACTCACGGTAAATCCCCAGCCCTGGAGTTCTGCTCCACACAATCAAATGATTTAGGAAAGCATCACTAGAAAAACCCATCTGAAGAGTGACATTTGAATGTCTGCCTGCCCACCAGACTCCCTCCTTTCTCCACGAGTGTTGCTGCACTGACGTGACTTTTCCTGTGTATATTTAGCTTAAACAGAGATCCACCAAATGTCGCTGTTTTGTGTAAAACTAGCGTAAATCCTTAGGAGTAGAAAGGCAGTTTTAACCACAAATCTCCACTGCTTGTATGCCCACATCATCCCCCTGCTTCCCTGCTGAACCTTTAGCCAATTTACAGCGAGCCAGATGAGTACAAACGACATTTACAAAGTGCTTCATTCTGGTGTGGTTTTTAGTGAGTTTTGCCAGCGGCAAATCACATAGCTCTAGACCTTTTGACGCGCGTGTTTTTCTCGCTGTTTTTCTCACTGACACCGCTACTATAATTAGAACGACGTTGCTCTGTTAGCAGCATCTAGTGCCAGAGGCAGAGCCTGGCAGCGCATTTTCCTTTCCTGCTGCTTCAGCCGGCCCGGAGCGGTGGAGGAGTGGGACGGGCAGGTGCGGGGGGCTGTGCCCTGCCGCTCATCCCCGCTGTCACCCCGCACAAATCGGGGTGCTGGTACCCAGGAGCATCCCTGCAGCGCCTGGGAGCGCTCGGCCGCGGATTGTCGCATCCTTCTTCTTCTTCTCCCGGCTCCTTCTCCTCCTGCCACCGCTGTTAATGGCTCGTGTCATCGGCTCAAGATGACAAACGATGGGGAGCGGAGCCGCTCCGTTTCCAGGGTAACCCCGCCGGCTCCCCGGCTCCCGCACAGACCGGTTCGGTGCCGGGCTCAGCGGAGACGAGCAGCCGGAATGGTGCCCTGTCTCCTTGCCCCGGCCTCTCCTCCTGAGCGGAACAGCTCGGGGGGTCCCGGGGGTGTCTCTCAGCCACAAGCCCCAAGCTCTCCTCCTGTTCGCACCCTCCCGCAGCGCCGCGCCACCCCCGGCCCCATCACCCGCTGCCCGTGGGGTCTGCCCGGTGCCTTCCCCCCACGAACGCACCCAAAAATCGAACGGGGTGTTCACTGCGCCTTTCCCCGGAGCTGGCCAGAGATGCCCACGGCTGCCCCCGCTGCGGACTCGCACCCCCTCCGGGAGCGGGGCCGGGCGGAGCCGGAGCCGCCCCCTCCCTGCCGGTAGCGGTGCCCGCCCCGCTCCCGTTCCCGTTCCCGCCCCGCTCGGCTCTCCCGGCCCCGCTCGGCTCTCCCGGCCCCGCTCGGCTCTCCCGGCCCCGCTCGGCGCTCCCGGCCCCGCTCGGCGGGGGCAGCGGGGCCCATGGCCGGCTCGCAGCATCGCCCCCGGCCCCCGAGCGCGGCCCCGGCGGCTCCCGGCGCGGCGCTGGGGCAATGAGCGGGGCACGATGATGATCGACAGCCAGGTGAGTGCGCGGGGCAGTCCCCGCTGGGCCCGGCACGGATTGTCCCGGCTCGGGGCGCTGCTGCTGGGCTCGCTCCCCGCTGTAGGAGCCTCGCTGGACGGGCTCAGGGCGGCCCACGCGTGTCCGCGGCGGGGCAGTGATGGGTGCGCGGTGCCGCGGGGCTCTGGTGGGGCTCGCCGGGGTCTGTAGCTGCCGGTGTCCGTCCCTCGCTGCCCGGTGGGGACAGGGTCACTGCTGTGCCAGCAGCCTGCTCTGCAGCGGGGGCTTTGGCGGGGTAAAAGCGGCAGCTTTGCCGAGGGAGTGGGGGAAGTGCGTTTCTCAATGTTATTTTCTTTTTTTTTTTCGCTTTCTGTTTGTATAATGGTTGATAGAAGAGGAGCTGAAGGATGGGGAACGAAGGGACGCGGTTTGGGACGGGTCTGAGGGCGCTGCGATGCTGCAGCAGCCGCTGTGCTGCGATGCTGCTGGCAGGCTGGCGCTGCTGCGTGCTGTGCCAAGGCAGGGCCGGCTCCCCTGGCACCGCTCAGGCCAAGGGGCATCAGCAGGTGCCTTGTCTCAGCCTAGTGTGTTTATGAAGCTAAATTGAGCCGAGGTGGGCTAAAGCTCTCTGCTCCCAAACCCCCTCCCCGGTTCTTTTGGGGTAGGGGAGGATGAAGCAAAGGTATGAAATTTGGGGGTGGCACCAGAACATGACTCTGGGTTTGGTCCTGATGTTCCTCTGACTTTTTACTTTCTCTTCTTCTGCTGTTTGATCCCATCCCTGGGAAGGGGGGGCTGTGCTGCTGCCCTTGGGGGGGCTGCTGGGAACGTAAGTGGGCAGCAATGGCTCCTTGGAGACCAGGGATGAATAAAGGGAAGGGCTGATGCTGTGCTGGAGAAGTGGGCTGGGATCCATTTTTGGACTGGAAAATGTGCATTCCAGAGCTGCCTCCTGCACCCTGTGGGTCTCTTTAGTCTGGGCCTCATTCACCTTGGACAAAAGCTGGATGAGCTCTCTTGGGGGCACGTGTGTGAGGCAGGCCCTAGTGCCACACCGGTGTGTGCTGGATGGTGGCATGTCCCTTTGGCATAGGGAATTGGCAACCAAAATACTGGAGTTTGGGTCCTGACCCTGTCTAGGGTCAAGAATGAGAGTTTTCTGTCATTATGGAGTGGGAAGATTGATCTTGCTGGGAGATCCAGAAGATTAAAGGTGTAAGGTTGTCTGGAAAAAGATGTCCAGAGCTCAGCCTCCCAGGCTGGGGCATGCATGTGGCATCCTACAGAATGTTTTGCATTAAGGTCTCAGTTTTAGCCTTCTTGTCATGTTTTTATGCTTACCCCATTTTATATAATTATTTATGGGTATATTTTATATGGGTAAACTGAGGCACGTAGAGATATCTGCCCAGGATCCTGCATGAGTGGAGAGGAGAGGTTTAAAATCCTGGTTCCTCCTGCTGAAGAGGATGAGCCGCTCTGCCTTTTAAGGGGTGCAATTCATTGAGGTCCCGTTGTTTGTGGCTACCAGTTAAGAGGAATTTGCAGCTGCACCCGCAGCCGCACCCTGCCAGTTCTGAGGGCTGTACAGCTACATTTTTCATGCCTTGTAAATGTTCCTCTCCCTGGTTGCTAAGGGAAGACCCACACAAACAACTGGTAAAACTGAGTGTTGCAAAGTAAATAAGCTGAGCAAACAAGGAGGTTTTTTTCATCTCAAGGCGCTGCAGGTGTGTTGTTCCAGGTGTCCCGACATGTGAAAGCCAAGGTTCACGTGCAAGGGTGAATTTCAGCCTTTCAAACGGAAACCTGCTCTTGAGCCGGGTCAGAAGGTGGCTTCCATCCTCAATAAAGCTCCCAGGGCTGCAGACTCATCCCCTCAGTCCCTCTCTGGCCGTTTGGGCAGGAGAAGGGAGCAGATGGTGGATGAGCAGCCCTGGGCTGGCTGGGGGCAGGACGCAGGGAGCGAGTGCAGGCGAGCTCAGCTTTTGCTTCTGGCTCTCCTTTCATCTGCTCCCAGCCTCTGAAGCGGCTCCAGCAACTCAGAGTTAACTCTTGGTGTTGCTCTGCAGGGGCAGGGGGTGAGTTGGCAACAAGTGACAGCAAGGGAAGGTCCAGCTGGCAGCAGGGGCTGGCAGGCAGCAGGTGGAGAGATGCAAAGTCCCTCCTCGGCGTGGCTCAGCCACTCCATCTGGAGCTCCCACTCACGCCTGAGTCTGTGCCTGGGCTGAGCAGACACGAGCAGAGGATGCAGCCACTGCTGCAGGCTGCAGAATAAATCTCTGGGATGTTGTGATGATGGATCTGACATCCCCTCGCTCAGTGCAGTGTGTTATCGCTGAGCCAGTTTGCTCAGTGAAGAAATGAGGGGCTTTTCAGGACTTTGGTTATTCTGGGCATTTTTGGGGTTGCGTTTTTCATCTCCTCGCAGCGTTTTCACTCTGTCATTCCCTAAGTGGTGCCTGACTGCCGGACCTGATCAGGGCAATCAGGGCTGCTGGTCTCAGGTGGTGATCTCCAAAGCAATCTGCACTATCCATCAAGATGGATTTTGCTTCTGATACCTTTCCCATTGCTATAGCAACCCATCCGACGAGGATGCCAGCACGCTTTCCAGGCAGCGTGTGCAGGGAAACTGCTTCACCTGCCACCAAGCTGCCACCACCACTCGTGGGGCAGGGCTGGTTAGCTGGCAACTGCACACAGGTGCTGAGCCTGGAGGGGCAGAGGAGCTGCTGTCAGCTCCCTCAGACTCACCCTGCTCTCTCAGGTGTCCCCACCACCGGGAGTTCCCCTGGGATGTCGGGGTGATACAGCACAACTCGGGGAGCACACCATGCTCAGCGCCAGGATCTGGGATTTCTCTCCAAAGGAGATGCTCAGGATGGTGTGCAGGAGCTCGCCAAGCCTTGGTGAGTGGTAGGGAATGCTTCCCTCTTCCCCCTCCCCTTGCCTGAGGAGAGGGTTGGAAGATGTGTCTCAGTTCCAGGGGCTGATAGAGAAGAAGGGGTTTTTACCTGCTTCTGCCAAGCGAGCCTGTTCCTTCCTCCACACTCTGCAGAGTCCTTCCCACTCTGCAGCCACTAGATGGGCCCAGCACGTTCTCTGCTCTGCCCTGCCTCTCACCCTGCTGTGCTGTGCTGTCTGTGCGAACCAGAGCGCATCCAGCTGTGGCTGGCCGCCAGGACAGCTGTGGGGCCGCCAGGACAGCTGTGGGGCCGCCAGGACAGCTGTAGGGCCGCCCTCCCCCTGCAGCGATGCCGCTGCCCGGGGGACTGGGGGGCTGTGTGACCTGCCCGGAGCCCGGCGGGGCCGTGCAGCAGATGGCACTGTTGTTTTCCCCATGAATTATTGCCGTGGCTTGGCTTGCCCAGCGCTGGGAAGGGTCAGCGGTGATGGGAGCATGGCAGAGACAGTGTCCGGCTCCCTGGGAAAGGCCAGCACGCCAAACTGGGCTCTGCTGCCACAAGCCGAGCTCGGTGTTCGGGCACTGCTCGCCCAGGAGGAGCCGAGCCAGCTCCATCCTCGGAGATCTCAGAGCTCCAGCCCCGAAACCGCCGTGGGCGACCTCAGCATCACCGCATCCTTCCCATCGAAATAAACCCCTGACTCCCCGCTCCTTTTCGTGCTTGTCGCTGCTGTCAGCAGCCAAGCCCTGCCCCAGCTGTCCCCTCAGGAGCCGGGAACCAGCCGTGACCTTTCCCTTTCCCCTGGGGCAGAGCTGCCCGTGCCACTGTCACATCCCCGCCGATGGTGGCACATCAGGAGCACCTTCCACCTGCCCGGAGCGCTGTGCCTGGGCTGTCACACCCTTCAGGGTGGCTGTGCCAGCTGCTGCCAGCTCTTGGGGTGCCCCCAAATTCAATCCATCCCGCCCTGCCCGCCGCCGGCTGCCGCGGGATGCGCTGGAGGAGCCTCCCGATGCTGACAGCTTTTCCCAATGGGATCGGCCGAGTCCAGCCCCAGTGACGCGCGGTGTGGCTCACCCGTCTGTTTTCCTTGAGGATTTGCGTTTTTAAGAGGCTGGGTTTGGTGGGGACCTCTTGGCTCCCAAGGCACCGCGGGTGTCTGCGCGGATTTGCGCTGACATCGCCTTGGCCGCGGCTCAAAGGCAGAGTTTGGAGACATCATCTGACGCCAAAAGCGGCTCTGTGCTTCGGGATCACAGAGTTTCCTCTCCCTCGAGGCCCTGCAGGGCAGCGGGAGTTCATCCTCTGCAAGGATTTCCAGCCCCCTCGCTGCTCCCGGGTTTGCTGTGGCCCTGAGGGCTCCTGTCTCCTGTGGCTGGAATTCCGTGTCCTCCATCTCCCTGCCTGGAGAGAGGTTCCAGAGATGGGAGACAAGGGAACTGCTTCCCCTGTGAAGGGGCTGGGGGGAAGGAAGGGGTGCAGTGGTGGCCTGATGGGGCAGAGAGGGTGGAGAAGCCCTTCCTTGGTCTGTCCTGCCCTGTGGGACATCTGGAGAAAATCAGAAGTTTTAGACGTGGTGGCAGAGCTCTGGGATGTCAGAAGGTGTGGGATGCCAAGGCACCCCAGATCAGGCCCCACACTTCCCTGTAGGGTCTGGAGGAGAGAAACTGGGTGAGGTGTGGCACAGACCCTGCTGTGGGGTGGCCGGTGTGTGAGGAGGGACCACCGGAGAAACTCTCCATGATCCTGGAGGGGAGGCCGGCACAGCCTGGGGGTGATGCTGTGCTGGGATTCAGGATGTGGCCGTGTGAGCCTGCTCCCGTCTGGGCTGATAACACCTCATGGGCTTCTCGGGACTGTCCCTTTTATCTTTCCCCTTCCGTGCAGCCCCACTCCCGTGCCATGAACACCCTGCAGGGG